TTTGAGGCAGGATGGCCTCAAACTTGTGATCCTCCTGCGTCAGTCCCCTGAATGTTATCACATTAGTTCTGAAATATGACAACCTTTCCTGGCAGTAGTCAGAGGGCGACATTGTTCTAAAGGGTAAGGGAGAGGCGATGTGGAAAGGAATTGACTTGCTATTGCTCTTTGAAGACGGAATGAAATGACACAAGCCAAGGAATGCAGGTTGTTTTAGTTCCAGCTGCTATAACAAAGTACCATGTATCTTGTGGCTTACAAGCAACAGAAATTTATTTCTCACAGTTCTGGAGGCCGTGTTCTGGTGAATACTCTGTTCTGGGTTGCAGACTGCAGAACTCTGACTTTACATGGTGAAAGGGGTGAAGGAGCTCTCTGGGGTGCCTTTTCTAAGGGTCCTACTCCCATTCATGAGGTCTTTGGCATCATGACCAAATCACCTATCAAAGGCCCACCTCCAAATGCCCACAGTGGGGATTAGGCGTCAATGTATGAATTCCAGGGGACATAAAATTCAGTCTGTAGCACAAATGACATCCAAAAACTGCATAAGGCAAGGAAACAGTCTTCCCTAGTCTTCTGATGGATCACATCCCTGCTGATTTTAGCCTTCTGAGACCTGTGACGGATTTCTGACATCTAGAAACAGTAAGATAATAAATTTGTCCTGTTTTAAACCACTGAGTTTGTAGTACTTGTTTCAGCAGCAAAAGAAAAGTAACACAGGAGGCACACATGCCCACTCATCCCTTAGCAGGCCAGGTAGGCATACTCTCTTCTCACTCTTTCATAGCACTTTTACCCTTTCAAAGATCCCCGGAGGTTCGTTTTCATCAGTCTTACTGGAATTGATATCTTGTCAAGAAAGAAGCAGGAGCTCACAGAATAATGTGCTCTGGGTGTCATACCCCAGGAACGGTGGCGTCCTTTTCTGAATGAGTGGACTGCAGCCCAAGCCTCCTTCTATAGGAGCTGGATTGCTTGAGAGCAGCCCATACCAATCAGCTTAGAATCTAGAGAAACACCAGAGTCTCTGCTTGTCAGACCAGATCCAACACTGAAAGACAATGGGCAGTCAGCTGTGGAAGACAGGCCAGGGAATGGTGGTATTCACATGGATCTGAGACAAAAGGGCTTCTGCACATACAGTGGGCCCTTATGGTATTACAAGAATACTTTCCCACTGCCATTAATCTATGACATAATAATTATAATATTTGTAACAATCAGAAATAAACATTTCTTGATCTGAGAAGTAAAATGTATCTCAGTCATAAACTATTTCTAAATTCATTCCAAAACCATACTACAATCAGCCTTTTACCACATTTGCAGATTCCATTAGAATTAAGTCAATATGTCTTTCATCACATGAAACAGACATGTATCACATACAGGAAATAAGTAATTAGTAAATTACTTACTTAAAGGTTCTAGCTTTAGAACATCAATAAAATTTAGGTCAACATTTCCTTTTCTTTAAAGGTTATGATTTGGGCCCAGAAGAGAGACCACAGGAAACAAATGAAAATCTGTCTGACCATTTGACATTCATGGTATTATTTGACTGGCTATATACAAATTATATTTTGTAGTCGGTACATAAAGGATCATATAACATGACATATTATGTGGCTAGATGCACACTGGCAAAAAGCCTATTAAAGTCCTCTTTGTCCTGCATTAATGTGTACTGACATCTAGAAAAAGGCATAAAATACCCAAAGCAATGGAACTGCCCACCAAATGATGCATAAACACAACTGCTTTCAGTCTTGCACAATTCCAGGGAGATCCAGCTGTACAGCAGAGCAGAAGTCAGCACAGTCCTCAAAAGTGTTTGATCACTGCACCTCTGCATAGCCCTAAACCAGCCACCAGTGAGTAAGAGTCACTAATATTCCCCCACAAACCAGATGACATTGCTGATTTCTCATTTGTGAGCTATACTCCTTATAATATGATTATATGGTACAATTATATGAAATGGATTGTTAGATGGTCAGGTTTGCCTTTAAGGGAGAATTTAATATACAACACAATATATATAATTATGCTTAAAAGGCCATTGCACTTAAAATATGGCACAGTTATATCTAAAGGTTTTTACAGAATTTTATACCCAGAGGTTGAATATCACCTACTCTATCATTCTAATGTTTGCCTAGTTGCCATAAAATTGTGCAAGGTGCCAGTAAACCTTATACTCTTATAGCACAAATCAGACTTTGTATATACAGATGTTATGCATACAGATAATGTAAAAGGAAAAAAACACTGATATTTTGTTTAGAACAAGATATAAAAAGCATAATGTACTAGAAGTTCTCCTGAAAGTTATAAAGGTAGGTTGACAAGTATGGGTTTGTTCAATTTGAAGGCAGAACACAGAATTGAATAATTTCAATTCATCAGTCTGTATCTTTGGGAAACTCAAAGTCCATTAACTGAAACTCCCAACATAAAAAGTATATATCCAAGACAGGTGTGGTGGTACACACCTGCTATCCCAGCACTAAGAGGCTGAGGATCATGAGTTCAAGGCCGGCCTGAGCTACACAGCAAGAAGAAGAAAATACTCCCATTAATGTTCATGGGCCTTATTAAAAATGCCCTGGGCTTTCACATATAAACCTGTGCTATATGCTCTGTCTTCTCTGAAGTTTATCTTAGTTATCCTGATGTTCATAGCTCCTTTACAATGGCATATTTTTAGAGCCTAATCTTATCACTGGCAACGTTTGTGGATGAAAAGAAAATAGTTCAATGGTGAAAGTTTTCCTAAAGCCAGCAGGAATAACATAGCTCAAGAAAGTAGCAAACTGGTAAGTTGGATCAGTGAAATAGTCAAGAGAAAAGTAAATGAACAGAAGATGTGTAGAGGATGAAGAAAATGACAGGCAAAGAAGATAAAATTCTCTTTCAAATACAATGCTGCCTTTACACAAATTCCTTCACTAGGAGCAAGAACATGGTGGTGGCATGGGAAGTTGGTGTCTTAGACATTACAGTCACAGCCTTTGGGGACCACTTAATAAAGAAGGAACATTTCTGATGACAGAGGTAGGAACTGAGATAAACTCACCCCCAAAATCTGCGGTTAATGTTCATGCAAGGAGTCATGGGCAAAGTGGATTGCCATTCTAAAAAAAGGAAAGCTGGGCAATCCTCTCAAAATGCCAGTGACATTTTTTAAAAAGGCCCTCTATTTTAGTGATAGTCCCTTGTTTAATATGGAGAAAGAAAAGTAATGGGTTTTATAACTCAGAAAAAGTTATATAAGATATAGACTTTATTTTCATAGATTTCTTAAATCAGATGCCTTTAAAAATCTCTAATCAAATTTATTCCCATTATACAATATTTACGATCATATCAACCAAATTTATAACAATTAGTCTTAAAACATAATAAATAATAGATTTAAGTTCTAACAGATTATAAAACAGCAAATTGCAATCAATTTAACAATAAGAAAAAAGGTTGCTTCTCTAAAGAGTGTGAATCTTCCTAACAATTTACAGAACTCTCTTTACCTTGATAAGAAAAATTTGTTGGTTAAGGTATTGCTTTCTGAAGCATCTATCATTTCTCAGAGGATACAGCCTGTGATCACTAGCATTATAAACCACAAATTTCTAAGAAAATCTGAAGACAGTAGATGACACATGCCAGAAAGAGAAGCAGGTACCTCTGAGGCACTGACTTTAATATCAAAGTAACATGAAACTGCAAATGTCAAATTTACAGCAACTTAATTCTTCTGTAATAAAGGTTAATTATTTTAATAAAAGATCTGTCTGAAAGAACAAAGGAAAAAGTAAATTTCCTAAAACTATTTTATTTCAAAAGAACTTTTGTGTCAGCATTAGGCAGATTTTTAAAAATTGATTTAATTGGTACAATATTTTAGGATTTTATTTTATTTTCAGAACTGGGAATTGAACCCAGGGCCTCATGCATGCTAGGCAAATACTCTCTACCACTGATCTATACCCGTAACCCTTTAAATTTTGTTTTGAGATAGGGTCTCACTAAGTTGCCCAGGCTGGCCTCAAACTTGTAATCCTCCTGCCTAAACCTTTGAAGTGGCTGGGAAAACAGAGATGTACCACCATGCCTGCCTTGGTACAGTATTTTAGAAATGTGTAAACAAACTGACAGCAACTAAAACAACTTTAATGAGAGGAGTTTACATTTCAAATAACATTACTGGTCATTACTTTTTTGTGTAAATTCAGATTCTATGACTATGATCCAAGCATCAGTATTTTGTTAATGCTACTTGTTAGCAAATATTTTGTTGCATTTAGTTGTTTTTCAGAACAGTTAAAACAGTAACATGGGGCTGTCCTGAGTTCAAACCCCAGTACTATAAAACAAATAATCAACAACAACAAAACACCAGTAACATGAGATTCTTGGGTAAAGACACCAAAAAATACTATTTCAGCAAATGTAACGATGGTCAACATGTTACAATAATTATCTCCTAAACTGATTTCTGAAATCATAACTTAGATTTAATGTTGGTTGTTGTTTTGTATGAATGTTATGATATATCATAAGTGCTCTGAAGCAGATTTTACCAGCAATCATAATTCATAAAGCATTTTACAAATTAAATTTTAGTTCCACCATACATCTTATTCATTGTTTCAGTTATCTCAGGAAAATGTTGACTCCAAATATAATGCTAACTTTCCATAAATTAGTCATCCTAAAATTTGATTTTCATCAGGAAATGGTTTTATAGGTATACTTCCAGACAACTAATTAGATGTTAATCCAACAGAACTACTAGTAAAGCCAGATAAACAAAAGTGACAAATTATATATATATATATATATATATATATATCATGGCTTAAATGGAACTCTAATATTGCACTAGAGTGACATGTAGAGAGAAGTAGAAGTATAACAAATATGACTTTCTAAAAGATTATACATGCCTCCTGAGCAAGAGGACTCAGGATATAACAATGTAAATACCTGTATTTTTAAAACTTCCCTCTAATGTTGGCTCCTCTGACCTATCTGCTTCTCTAACAGCCATATGGTTACCTCAGACATCAATACGAATCCCAGGTTTTGAAGGCATCATTTGTCTGGTCCCTGTTAAGTACATAACAAATGAACACATATGGGGTAAAGTTGATGTCATTATTACATAAAGCCAGAATGGCAATGGAGAAGTTTTTCCAAATGGGCAAATCCACAAGCCATGACGAATTCCATCTCGGATATGGTGTGAGGTCCAGGATACAAATAACATCCAGGGAAGAAAGTGCCATGAGTCTTTGAGCTTAAAAATGTGCATAATAAACTTCAGGGTCAGAGCTGCGATGGGTATCACAGTAGAACAGTGAAGGAAAGGTCTTCGTGGAAGACTCAAAGCAGCCTACAGGTAGGCAGGGGGAGAAGTAGTAGCTGGGATCAATTCCTTCTTGGAAAAACAAAATTTTATAGCTGCTTAATATTTTAACATATCCAGAGTCTACTGGAAATGCAAGGGAAATCTACAGAATACACATATCAAAAGCATATGAACAAATAAGATAAAAGTGTGAACAAGGTATACTTTGCATTAAAAATGAAATCAAGTTCGATATAAGGCTGTTCAGAAATGTCACAATGAACTGCCTCCCCCCGTAAAAAATGAAATCAAGGTTTTAGAAACACAGTGATTAAAATTTAAGTTTCCCAGCCAAGATGCCCCACCACTGACAAATGGATTAAGAAAATGTGGTATCTATACACAATGGAATTTTATGCAGCCATGAAGAAGAACGAAATGTTATCATTCGCTGGTAAATGGATGGAATTGGAGAACATCATTCCGAGTGAGGTTAGCCTGGCCCAAAAGACCAAAAATCGTATGTTCTCCCTCATATGTGGACATTAGATCAAGGGCAAACACAACAAGGGGATTGGACTATGAGCACATGATAAAAGCGAGAGCACACAAGGGAGGGGTGAGGATAGGTAAGACACCTAAAAAACTAGCTAGCATTTGTTGCCCTTAATGCAGAGAAACTAAAGCAGATACCTTAAAGGCAACTGAGGCCAATAGGAAAAGGGGAACAGGTACTAGAGAAAAGGTTAGATCAAAAAGAATTAACCTAGAAGGTAACACCCACGCACAGGAAATCAATGTGAGTCAATGCCCTGTATAGCTATCCTTATCTCAACCAGCAAAAACCCTTGTTCCTTCCTATTATTGCTTATACTCTCTCTACAACAAAATTAGAAATAAGGGCAAAATAGTTTCTGCTGGGTATTGAGGGGGTGGGGGGAGAGGGAGGGGGCAGAGTGGGTGGTAAGGGAGGGTGTGGGGGCAGGGAGGAGAAATGAACCAAGCCTTGTATGCACATATGAATAATAAAAGAAAAAGGAAAAAAAAAATTAAGTTTCCCATTATTTGCTCAGAAAAGTCACAAAACAAACACAATTTATATCCTAAATATATAATTTGTGTAATTTGGCTTTTTAAAGTTTTTGAGGTCTTTAGGACTGGGGGCATGGCTCAAGTGGTAGATCTATTGCCCAACAGATGTGAGGTCCTGAATTCAAACCTCAGTACTGCCAATTTTTTTTCAACTTTTAATCAACACATAATAATTATACATGTTTGTGAGGCACATTGTAACATTTAAATACATATACACAAAGTGTGGTGTTTGGATCAGACTAATTGGCATGTTCATATTAAACATTATTTCATTGTATTGGGAACATTCAAAATCCTCTCTGCTAGCTATTTTGAAATGTATAATTAATTATTATCAACCACAATTTCCCTACTGTGGCACAGAGCATTAGAAGTGTCTCCTCTTATCCAACTTCACCCTTTTACCTACTAACCATCCTTTCTCCACCCACCATCCCCTACATTGTGGAGAAGAATAGATGATTCATGAATGCTTATTCAATTTTGACATTTATTACTGATAATCACAGCAAGTGAATGAAAAAATCCTAAAACTTAGTTAAAAAATAAGGTCCAGGAGATCCAAGATGGCAGATAACAGAGGGAAGCAGAAATCCTGAACTCCACGATTTCAGAAAACACTTGACTATAACTCAAGTGAGCCAACTAAACACACAGGGTGCACATAAAATTCAGTGACAGACCCTTAAAACAACTGTTAGCTGCCAATCAGCCTTTGGGGTGGGAGGGGCATAATGCTGAGTTGGCCTCCTTGTTGGGGGAGGGGCTGACCTGACAGAGTCAAAGTACCTGTGGAGTAACACAGCTGCCACCTGGTGACAACAGAAATATATCTGACCACCTTGGAGAAACTAGTAGTGAGCGATAATAGAGCTCAATTGCAATTTGCCCTCTGGGCAGAAAAGTCCAAGACTGCTCATAAACCAGCATCCTGGCCAGACCACTTCAGAGATCCCACCTACACCAGAGGGCCCACCAAGGAAACACTGGGCTCACCCACCACAAGCCAACTCCTCCCAAAGCTGTGGACAAGGAGGGACTACATATATTTCCATACAGCCCAGCATTCCAACCTTGAGAAGGCACAGGAACACTGAGAAAGCTCCAGTGCAAGTGCCAGTACAAGGATTTGATGCCAAAGGAGTAAGTCCAGAGATTTCAGCAAGCTGATTTTATTTCTCCCTTTTTTTATTTAGTATTTAAAAATTTTTTACGATTTTCTTATCTTTATTCTTACTCTTTTCATTTTCTCTCCTTTTCTTGTGCCACAATCCATTGTTACCTGTCTCCCTCTTCCTCTCTGTACAAATATCAACCTGCTTAGCTTTCTCTTGCCCCACTTTCCTCCAACTATTTTTTCTTTCCTTTGCTTCCATTCTTTTCTCCTGTCTTCATTTTCCCCTGCTCACCTCCCCCTACCTTTCACCACACTGCCCCTACCTCCTCCACACTCACCACTTGCTGAAGTCTATTATAACAGCTCTACACATTACCCCCATCCATCTTATTCCTCTGCAATTACTGACACAAGTGCCCTCCCTTTTAACAACTGAACAACACCCTAACAAACACAAGAGCCCTAATACCCTATAGTCCCCAAACTTTATACCCCTCCCCCAATCTCCTCCTTTCTGCTCACCCATGCCATCTTTTTATTTACCTAAGTATCTATCTCTATTCAAACAACTGTTATTCCTCCAATTCCCACTGTTTATAGATAATATCACCAAGGGGTTCTCTATATATTATGTGAATAACTGGTCTGGCATTGAATCTGTGAATTTGTTATTGCTAATTTATACCTCCAGGTCAGGGAACAGAAATTGCACATTAACCTAGCTAACAACTAAGCCAGTCACAGCATAGTAATTAAGTCAAGGGAAAGATAATAGGCAATTAAAAACCCCCAACTAGCCAATCAATAACAAAGGAGCATGGCACAAATAGAAACATGAGGAGAAGAAGAAGGCAGGAGAATACAATTCCTCAGAAGACTAAAATCCAATAAAGGATTTAGTGGAAAGTGAAGGAAATGAATACCCTGTCACTGACCCAAGCAGAATGGTGATAAGTGTACCCAATGAGCTTAACGAGGGAGCCAAGATGGTGACTAGGGTATGGAAGCAGACAGCATGAGCTCCGTGACTCCAAAACCTTTCTGAGATGCTGGAGCCACACTTGGCAGAAATAAAGCACCAACAAGAATCAAAACTTCAACACCCTGAACCCCTAGCCTGTAGAAAGCTTCTCCACTCCATGTTACACTGAGAAAATGGGCTGCTGCCACCATCACCACTGGCTCCAAACCTGCCTGTGAGATATTTGGTAGACCAAACAGGTGAGCACCAAGTGTCACACAGAATTCCCCTACCACCCCCAGGATAAACCAGCACAGCCCACTGGGCAGACTGACACCCCCCCAAAAAAAACTGAACAATAAACAGCAAACTGTAATCTAACACTCAGCGGAAGGGGTGGGATCACTGAAAGTGCACCAGAGAAAGGGGGAGGAGCAAGGAGCTAATCTCAGCAGAACTATCAGTAAACAAACTCTGGAAAGGTAGGAAGGTTGACAGTGGATGGGTGATAAGCCACTCCTTGAAGCAGGGCAGGTGGTGGATCACAAAACTCATCTCCTGAGCTAGTGCACAGCACCCAAAGTCAAACTGCCGTGCAAAATTGAAAAACAAAGAGTGAACCATCATAAAAACACTGACAGAACACTGACCCTGCCCCAGGGGGTGGGGCAAAGAAACAAGCCCTCAGTAAACAAGCACAGTGAACAGCCACCTCCAAAGCAGGACAACCAATGGACTACAGACCTGATCTTCTGAATGTGAGGGCAGCATTCAAACTTAAACTGCCACAACTCACTGGGGGAGGAGCTGACCAAGCAGCTACAGCTAAAAGACAGAAGAACAAAAAACATTGCTCACAAAACAATCACCTGGCGAGACTATAATAGAGCTTCTGCTTATATGCCAACACCAGGACTGGATGCTAGAGGAGTAACTCCAGAACTTAAACTAAGACTAAAATTCCTGAACCTGGAGTTTTTTGTTTGTTGATTTCTTTGGCTTTGTTATTGTTATTGTTAGTTTTGTTATTGTGTGTTTTACTCTTATCTTTATTTTTCTCTTTCTATACCATCAACCTTACCATCACCATGCTCTCATCCCTACTCTCACCCCCTTCACTCTCCCTACCTCTCCTGTGATAAAACCCATTCTTCCCTCTCCAACAACTTGTTCTGCCCCAACTCACCCACTCTCTTCCCCCAGCCCTCACCTTCCCCTCCCATTCTCCCCCAACCTGTCACCAGACTACCCCTCCCTCCTTCACACTCATCACCCACTGACCAACCTACTATACCAACTTTACACAACCCTAGCTCCTGCAATCCCTAACATAAATATCCCCTTCTACAACAACAGAAATATACCCAAACACACACAAGGACCACAAAAACAGCAGCCTCCACACTGCTTTCCCCACTCACTCACCCCACTTCCCATCTTCCCCTTTAGTTCCACCCTATCCAATTCCCCAATTTTCTATTGCCAGCATCACAAACATAACCCCCCCAACTCCCACTACTTATAGGTATTACCTCTAAGGGATCTCCTACATAACACATAAACTACTGGTCAGGTATTAAACCTGTGAATCAGTTAATACTAAATTACACCCAGACTACAGACAGAAATAGCACACCACCTTATCTAAAAACCAAAGACAGCCATGAAACAAAAATTAAATCAAGGGAAAGAAAACAGGTGCCTGAATCACCAAATAGCCTATCAAGAACATAGTTGCACAGAACCAAGTGGAGTGATGTGAAGAAGAAAAAGGGATGGAAACCATTCTCCCCCCAAAAATAACTTAATACAGGATTCAGAGGGAAATGAAGAAAATGGATACCCAGTTCCGGACTCCAACAAAACAAAGAT